ATATATTTCATATACTTAGCAATAAATAACTTTTATAGTCAAACCGGAAGTAACTGGGTATATTTTTCCTCCTCTACTTCTCCTTCCCCACTTGCTCTGCAGCAACACTTCTTTTACCTAAGCTAAAGATCCCTGAGAAACCCAAAAATACTGTGGGGTCCGCTTATCAAGGGGCTAAAGATTGAGACGTGCTGAGTTTGAAACACATAAGGGGATCAGCTTGTACAGGCTGATTGACCCAGTTTGACTCAGACGTGCCCTAATGAACTGAATGCTGGCCCATGAGGGTGTCAGCTGGACACCCAGCCAGATTCAGAGGGATTCTGTTCACCTGTGTGCTTGTGTCTGACTGCAGTTTATTGTTGCTCTGATGAACTGATTCCTGGCAAATTAGGGTGTCAGCCTGACCATGCTGATCAACCCGGCCGGGTCACACGTGGAGAGAGAGAGAGGGAGAGAGGGAGAGAGGGAGAGAGACTGATTTGGTGACTGGAGGAACCCAGCCCCATTGAAACTGAGTCTTGCAAGATAGCTCCATTGGGGGTGACGACTTGCAGAAGGGAGAGATACAGCTCCATATAAAAACACAAGTAACACAAGCAGCACATTGACAGAATTACCAAGACCCTGAAACGTACCCCTAATAAATGAGCACACCTCAAAGTAATGAGCAAATCTGGTAACACCCTGGTAGGAGGTATGGCAAAATATGACTCAGTAAGACCTAAACCGGCTTCCCCCATATTTCTTCCCCAAATCCCTAAAGATTGCAGTGGCTCTCCTTCTTGATGACACCTATGCCCTCCTGCTTCCCTCTGAGAAGTAGAACCAGCCAAGGGAGGTGAGTCCATCTGAGAAACTGGGAGTCTGTGTTTAGGAGTAGAGGGGAGAGGGTTTTTAGGAAACATTCCCATACTGATGGAGTCATGAACAATGTCTATTTACTTTTCATTCATGTCCACACTGTCTCAGCTTTGCAAGGCATTAAAATACATCTTCAGAACACTTCTGTGTAGCAGTAAAGCTTTAGACTTGCTTGAACGAGAGAAAGTCGAGGCACAAGTTGAATAAATGATTTGACTACATTTGTACAGGAAGTCCACAGAAGAGGCAGTATTTTAACTGATGTTTTCACTATTCCTCCTTTCATCCTAGAGTGAGAAGGGATGTTTTCTTCAGATGTTGAAGGGAACTGAAGCAACTTTTGATTAAAATCTACAATTGCCAACAGAAAGGTTAGAGATAAAAGCCAAAGTCTAGAATCTAAATTTTAAAGCGACTGGTAATGCTGGATACCTTGATTTTAAGGTGACCAATTTGACATGTGACATCTTATGAGCTCTATTTGCAGTGCCTTGGTACTCAGTGCTTTCTGAAAAAAATCAAGCTCTTTAAGAGGTCTGAAATTGGTCACCTAAAAAAAAAATCAATAGAAGTTCTTGAAAATGTAGGTCAAGGACTCTATGGGCTAGAAGAAAAACTACTATAGCCTATTACAGCAATACACACTGTGATGAAACCTTATTATGAAATCACACTCAGCAGGCTGCATGAGAAGTGATGTTTTTTTCCATGTGGAATTATATACTAATTTAGAAAAAAATGTCCAGAGATAGGTTTGCTTTTCTTTTGGTAGTGTATTTGGAACAGAATAATATATTCCAAAGTGATCATTGTCAGTAATATCTTCCTGCTACATCCAGCATAATGAATGCCACAACATAGGTTTGACACACGATCCGCTAATCTAAAACAAGGTCACAGAGCAGCAGAGAGTTCAGAGAGCTCTGCTTTACCCAGACACTACAAAAGCACACATGCCACGTGGTGCTGATGCTTTATACCAGAATGAGGTTAAAGAGCAGCAGGGGAAAGAAGAACTGTAACACTTAAACCTGAAATCCTATTGAAAACTGTAAGCGAGTAGAATTATTAACCGAATAAAATTCACTTGGGATAAAAGTATACTCAAAGCTGGCAAGTGAGAACGCTCTAAATTAGATGTCACAGTAACATTTTACAACAAAAACACTATCACTTTAGCCACGCATTGAGGAAAGAGCACGTTCCTAGAAGGCTCCTCAATTTGGATACTGGAAATACAGACCACACGTCTTGGAGTAACACTCTTCATATTATCTACACTGTGTTATAGTCATAGAAATAAATACCACGCCTACAGAAAATAACAGACAACTGCAGTTTTCAGAGCTGTTTGTCCACCTACTTATATAAGTGAGTTTAAAACAAATCTCAGACCAACACTTAGGCATCTTTTCATCTATTTGTATTAATCCAAATTGTCAAATGTGGAACTAGAGGCTGATTTAAGCATCCAATTTTGACTACATACTAATCTCACTAACACGTATCTATTATTATTATTATTGATGAGAAAAGAAAAAAAAAGTTACAGTACTTAGTTAATGTGCGGGCCGGGAGCAGTCCGAGGCCCTCGGGGGCCTGCGCGCGGTGGGCTGTGCCCAGCAGCCCGGACACGCCGGGTTGGGGAATGCAGGCCGGCGGGCTAGAATTAGGCACGGACGCTTAGCGGTTGATTAAAGATGATTTTACTTACACCGTAGATGGTCGCGGTGCAGGCAGGAAAACTTGCTTGAGTTGCAGTTACAAAACAAAACAAAACAAAACAAAAACTCGAACCTGCAGGGCACGAGAGTACATCGCAGGGGGTTTTCGGCGACGGGAAGATGCAAAACACGAGAGTATGTCGCAATGGGTTTTCGGCGACGGGAAGATAAACCTGCAGGACTCGAACCCGGGTAGAGCTCTGGATACACTCACACGAAGTTTGCTAGGCTCCATGGAACTTGCGCGCAGGGAAGGGGTTCGTCGAGGGATCGTTCGGCAACGGGGAGCGGCCAGAGGTTGATCAGACCCCTATAGCCTGCGCTGGGTTCGATAGGCTCCGCAGCGCTTAGAGATCTTCACAAGATGTGAAGTTCTTCTCCTCCAGATGGTTGTGGAGTCCTCCCTTGCGGGGATCTCCTCAGAGTTCTCCAACTTGGGCGGAAACCACTCAAGCCTCTTATACGACTAGCAAGCCAATCACTAGCTGCCACGTGGGAATAATTTAGAACTGGCCAATAGTGGGACACAAATTTGCGTACGAATGGCGGGAACTCCTTTGCACCGTGCATTTCTCTTTGCAACTAAGAAATGCACCCTGCAAAGAAAGCTCCTAGTGGCAGGAAATAATTTAGCAGTGCCAAAGCGCACACAAACAAAATCACACCCTTGGGTTGTGACAGTTAAAACTAAATAAAACCTTTTCATATCTTGATAGGTTTAATCCATCTGCAATATTACATCCCAAAATGTATTAGTTAAATGTCAATCATATGATACTGACTGAAAGGCAGTTTAAGACTGAGTAACACTGAGAGAGTTCCAAAAAAGTATTTTTAATAAGTGAGAAATAGGTCTTGAAATGCATTTTGAAAGTATGAAAAATCCCCAAGCCAGCACATTACTATTTCTTTCACCCAAACTGAAAAAAGAAAGACAAATCTCATCCATATCACTGCTTTCTACTGCAACGCATAGTTAACTATTCAGTAGTAATAATGACAACTGTCTCTCATATTTAATTTAACAAAGCTTAAGCAACAGTGACATTCGTAAATGTATCTTTTCACTTTGCTCAGTGGCTTGCAATTTATATAGCAACTTCAAATGTGTATCACACCTCATATCCCAATAAACAAGATAAATCCTGAGGACCTTACAATACAAATCAAACAGTCTCTCCCTGTTATTACAGTGTCAGGAAAGATGGAAAATTGCCTGCATGGAATCGCGGTAACATGCTGCTGGGCTGCTGAGGTTTAAATTGAGAGGAAGAGAGATGGCCCTAAATTTGGCCCTTTCTTCTACAACCCTTCCCTTGAAATCCAAAAACCCTTTTCCCTGTTCACAGGGCTGTCCCATATGCACCTGACTTACAGAGCAATTCATGAATGCCATTGACACAGTTACTGAGAGATTTCTGAACAGTTTTATGCATTAAGTGTAAAATTAATATAAAACAAACCTGACAGACCTGTGAGGATACTTGTAGCCAATTCAAAACCATTACCCTCTGATACAACTGATTTGAATACTTACTCCATTTTCCTTTATAAATGAAACCTTTAGTCTTTGCACATAGATACAGTGTTGCTGCCCAAGTAACGGTAAGCTTTTGGGGGAGGAATGCTAAAGATCATTTCTCCTTGCCTGACTTCCTGTCCAAATGTAAACAGCCACAGGGTAGCAAAGGACTGTCTACCAAAATATAAAGATCTTCTTTCAGCAAACAAACTGCCTCCTTGCCAAATATATCAAACTAGTTTTGTTCTCCTTTACTAGCTACTTAGTATTTCATAGATTCTAACAAAGGAGAAACCATAGGTGAAGTCAAACTGTAGACTGATCAGCAGGGATCTTGGTTTTCTATTTCCCATGGAAAAACAGAAAAAAACATGAATTTTTCCCTTTTGCCTGAGAAAAACGTGGCTTTTACATTGTAACAAAGAAACACATGGATTTTGCTCTTTTGCAAAGAGCTCTCTGCAGGCTGGCAGAATTCCAGCCTGCAAAGGAGCAGGAAGAGAGGCATCAAGTAGGGGGCACCATGTGCATGTATATGTAGATGCCTGTCAAGCAGCCTGGAGAGCAGCTCCCACAGGTGAGTCTAGTGGTGGTGACCAAGGCCCCTATAGGGAGGAAATGAGGGAGGAAGGGACGGAGCGAGGGAGGGAGTTGGGCTGGGGCTGGAGCTGCTACCCAGCAGGGCAGTGCATGGAGTTTGGGGCCTGGGTTCACAATGTGTGGCTGCAGGGCCCCGGCAGGGAGCAGGACAGGGCT